CCTTCCAAATATGTCAATAGGTGAAGGAGGAAGGGCCGGAGGGATTAACTCTGATGTAATGATATCCTCTGGTTTATGCCCATTTCTAAATTGTATTTGCAACTTGTGTAATTATTGGTTGATGCTGATTTATCTTTATTCTCCTCAATTTTTTAGCAGCCAAGTAAAAAATAATCACATCTTCTTTAAAATATATCCGTATTCACTAGCAGGAATTTTATTCTGATCCTGTCATTTTTCAGGATGTTTGCTTTATATACTCTGAACTTTGCTTTGATTTTGTTTTGGTTTTTTTTAGCGTTTTTTTTTCCTGACTTCCTTCCCTAGTCATCTGGGAAATCATTTTCTGTCTCTGGTGCAATCTAATATCTAGTTCTCCTATGCATTATATCTCACATATATCAACTGACTAATATTTTTTCTGCAAAATCAAAGACATTGTTTATGCAGTGAGTAAGGTGCCTTGATGAGTTGATATCTTTCTCCAGCTCTGTATTGATATATTCATTTCTAATGTAAGATTTTTATCCCATTTTCTCATTTGTGTAGTTAGTAGGCAAAAGTCCTGTATAAAATGTACTGGGCATTGCTTAGAGATTATGACATTTACCACATTAAAAAAAAAATGTATGTTTCTCTAATGTGGTGGATGATGTTATTAAGTTATGTAATATCACCGGCAGAGAACATACAGTACCACCAGACTCTTTATTATGTTTGCTAAGAGAAATATAGTCATCCATATATCCAATTAAGTAAAGTATATATTAACTCAAGGCCATCTTATTATGCACTAAAATCAGATGTAAATAAGTCACTAGGGAATATTAGAGTTTTTAAAAAACAGTGTGCCAAATCAGGCCCAAGTTAATTGAATTCAACATTTTATTCCTTCAATATCCAACTAGATGTTTCTGGAGAATATATTACTACCCTACGATCACAATATCATCCTCTCACATCATTCATATTCCTCAGCAACTAACATTCAGAGTCAAGCTATTTTTGATACTAACATAATTATGTAAGTATCATAATTGGATAGTCTTTGATAGCTTTATCCTTTATGAATTCGTCTAATTGTCTCTTGTAGCTATCTAGCTAGACATTTTTATAAAGATAAGTATATATTTTGTGGCAAGCCAAATATCAGGAAAAATCTGATAGCATAAGTATATTTTAAGGTATAAGCTTTCATGGCCTGCTGTTCACTTTATCAGATGTATGCATTGGTTTAACTAATACGGTATTAATATTTCCTCTATACTTGTAGTTCTAAAGTCCATTAATTTACTTTGGGTTTGAACTGGGCAAGGAATATATATGCCACTTCTGTTTATAACTAAACTTTATTCTATATATTAAACAAACAAAACAATGATACAATGTTACAACTTTACCAAAATTGTTCCATTAGAAACAAAAACAATTGAATTTAGAAAGTTTTTAAAAGAATGATTAGTTTCCCTACTTTTGTATAATTCCTGAAATTCCTTAAATTTTGTCTGCATTATTCATCCTTACTTTGTATAACAGTAACTATAGAAACCATAACTTGTACAAGCAGGAAATTGTATCCCACATCCTCATAACTAGTCAATTTTATGAGGTTTTGTTGTGGTGAAAAATTAGAGGAAAGAGTGCTATATACATTGCCTTGGGCTGTTGAGGAAAAGATGGGATATAAATCGAACAACCAAGCCATCTGAACATCCTACTGAAGAATCCATTAGATCTAAAAAAAATAAAATAGATAATTTTGTTGGCTTAACTAGTTTTAAATCATTAGAATCATACACATTTTAAAATCTGAGCCCATTGATTTTGTAATATTGGATACTCCAATTAAAGGCAAAGTAGAGGATTTTGGCTTAGGACAACCAAACCAAGAGTTTGACATAGCTTTAGAATGTAGTATAATCTAGATATATGAAATGCCACAGCAGGTGGCAGCACCTAGCTGACCCTGTTATAACACTGTGGGTCTTAATAGACCAGTTTTTTTTTTTTTTTAAGGGAGCCTTTGTACAGGAGACATCAATATACAAGCAGATGGATGTAACTGGATACAATTCTACAATTTAATGGTAATAATTTTATTCATAATGCACATAAGTGCAGTAAAGGCATAGAATAAAACCACAATTGTTCATGACATATAATATTAACCGCTATACATTCAAAGTGAAAAATAAGTGTTTGTTTATTTTACAGCAATTTCACAGGAGCCAATGTAAAAGAAGTAATCTAAGACTTTTTTAATACTTTTATACTTTAAGCACTGTAATCAAATTTTAAGTCTAATCCTGGCACAAATTTATTGCAGTAAAAGTGGCTATTCTGGGTACGTAATAGATTCAAATGACTTTGACATGACCCCAGCACAAGATCAACCAGCAGGGTTTTCAAATAACCAGTGTTTACCACCAATTTGTAGCAGTATCTTTCTTAAAACCTCAGTCCACATGGAAAAGTATGGATAATGGATAAAGCTAGGTCAGCTTTGGAGAGTTGGAAGAGAAGGCACTGTATCATGATGATTCTTTTCTTCTCTGGTCAGTTCCAATTAGTATTAGGTTGGGGAGAGGTCAAGCACAAACCCCTGCTTTGAGGGGGCTCTTAGTACTTTAGCCTCTCTTGGCTCCAATTTAATATCTGCATGAAGCCACTGAGTGAAGTTATTAAGGGCATAGGCTACAGTATCATCACTGTACTGCTAATATCCATTACAACTGGATATTATCCATCTAGGGTTGACCAAGCAATGGCTAAAAATCTGGAAGGAGGACAACAGGCTTCAACTCAAGCATAGGAAGATGAGTCACTATGGTGTTTAAGTGCCCTTGTTCTGGACATTTTTCATCTTCAGTTCTGACTGCGGGTACATTTCCCAGACAGACTGGAGTGCAGTTTGGAAGTCCATTGGATTCACTGTTCCTGCTCAAAGAACAGGTGGCAGCTATGGCTAGGAAGGTCTTTGCACAAGCTCATCTTGTGCACCAATTGCACCCATTCTTGGACTGGAAGGCCTTGCTAGTGGAGAGTCATATCTTAGTCACCTTTCATTTGGATTAATGTAATGTGCTGTACTGCAGGTGGGGCTATTCTTGAAGATCATTTAGATGCAATGGAGCAGCACAGCAAGTTTTGATATTTCTTGTTATGCTCATGTAACACCACTGCTCTTCATCCTGCATACAAGATGCTGACTATCACCTCTAAAACCCTAAATAACATAGGGCGGATTATTTGAACACTGCTTCTCTTTCATTATTTCTGCTCGCCCTACCAGATCTAACAGAGAGACTATGTTCCATGTCCTTTCCATCAAACAGTGTCCTTTTGATGGATGTCAGAGTTGTTTCTTCTTGGTGGCAGCACCAGCCTTATGTAGTAGTTGTTTGCCCAGGCCTTTGGATCACAAAGTTAGGTGAGCAAAGTTAGGTTGATGTGTTTTCTTTCTGTGATTTTTTCTTTTTTGGGTTTTAAGATTTTATATTGGGCATCAGGGGGTTTATTTTGTGATTTTTAATTTCCATATGCCATCCAAAGGTATTTTTGTGAGGTGATTGGCCATATAAATTATTTAAATAAATAAATAAAATTAATTAAAGGTCTGAAAGATAGCTTATTGTTGATTTGGACTCCTAAGCTTCTCACAGCTAGGGAGATCTGTAACATACAGGGCTGAAACTTAAAGTGTAAAACAGGAAAAGATGAGACAAGATGATCAGGATGAAACAGAATAACCTCTATTTTTCTATTTTCAATCTAAGATAATGGGAGCACATGCAATCTGAAATCCTGTGTAGGAACAGAAAGTTATGCCCACACTATATCATCCAGAGTAAGAACATCTGGAAAATGACAACATATAAGGGGTGGTTGAATTTAGAATACATAATCAGAGAGCCAGAATTAGATAAAGAGAATAATAAGGGACCCAATGACAAAGTTCAAGAAATAGCGCTCAAAGACTAGAAATAAAATGAGATATTCAGAAACATCCATTTTTAAACATTTAGATTTTGACATTTGTGAACTTTTTCATCTGACTCCTAAACACCTGCTACGCATGAGTTTCTTTCAACTTGTTTTCACAAGTATTGTAAAAAAAAATTTTCTGAAAGTGTTGATATTTCCACATATAGAAGATTATCTCATAAGTTCATACACAGAAAACTATGTAAAAATGACATCATGAGGCAAATTATGCCATTATATTCTTGGGTACCAATGTCCGATCATAGATTTTTCTATCATGATGTACATTATATAACTTGCCTCTCCATCTCAAAGTTAACTGTGAACAAGTCTGAACCAGTCAGTTTATAAAGGATGTTGTAAACCATCATATATTAAGGAAACCATAGAAAAATTGAGGAAAATTGAGCAAGCATATTTTAGTGTTTGATTGCAGTCTGTTCTGGCCGGTTCAAGATACAAGCACAAACTACTTGGAATGCACATATTGAGGGGGAAAAAAGCAATCAAGGAAGGCATTCTCTCCAGTGAGGATGGCACTGTGCCCTAGCACCATGTGATTGGCATTAGACATTCCTTTCAAATGAGCATACTTCCTAGGCAGCAGTTACAGCTCAATAAGCAGTCTCCTTCTTTAAAAATAAGGCTTTTATCTTTACAGGCAGCAGATCAGCTGCCAAAGAAAGGTGATGCACTGGGATACAGAGGCTCTTTCAGGCCTTTCATTTGAAGCATGGGAGATCCCAATCTTTATTTGGCCTGCTGTCTTTCTGCCAATAACTGTCAATGGCTGCATCCCGGAGATTAGGCCTTCGTGGAACAAAAATATCAAAATTGAAATGAACATTCTAAAAATTGTTAAAAGAAAACGCTCATTAAAATTTTGGGGTGAAAATATGAGTGAATGATCAAAGCATAATTTTGAAATTACATGAACTGCTTGATCGCTTATTTGTGACATTTCTTTTCTACCTGATTTTGTCCCTGTAACTTATGGATTTATTTTTTCCCCTTAGATTGCAAGTTCATCTGTCATTACCGATGCCGTGCTCTAATCCGACTTGATTGCAGGGGTCCCAGATATAAAAATGAGCAGGAAGAAGGCAATGAGCAGACAATAGAAAAAGACACTAATGTGGTAAGATTTTTAATAATAATAATAATAATAATAATAATAATAATAATAATAGTGGCAGTGCCTGGAGACAGCAGAATAGACAAGAAAGAACTGGAGAAGATAACAAAATACAAAGACCTACAAATAGAAATAGAAAGACTGTGGCAAAAGCCAGCAAGGGTAGTACCAATAGTCATAGGCTCCTTGGGTGCAATCCCAAAACAAATGGAGCACCACTTGGACACCATTGGCATTGACAAATTCGCTATTAGTCAATTGCAAAAGGCGGCCTTATTAGGAACTGCTTCCATCCTGCGACGATATCTGTAATACCCTCAAACATCCACATCTGCCTATCCCAGGTCCTGGGTAAGGACTCGATAGGTAGACAAAATGCCAAATCCAGTCTGAACATCTGGCTGACTGTGCGATGATCCATAATAATAATAGTTGGAAGGGACCTTGGAGGTCTTCTAGTCCAACTCCCTGCTCAGACAGGAAACCCTATACCATTTCAGACAAATGGCTATCCAGTTTCTTCTTAAAAACTTCCAGTTTTCGAGCATTCACAGCTTCTGCAGGCAGGTTGTTCCATTGATTAATTGTTCTGTCAGGAAATTTCTCCTTAGTTCTAGGTTGCTTCTCTCCTTGATTAGTTTCCATCCATTGCTTCTTGTCCTGCCTTCAGGCATTTTGGAGAATAGCTTGACTCCCTCTTCTTTATGGCAACCCCTGAATTATCATGTCCCCTCTCGTCCTTCACTTCATTAAACTAGACATACCCAATTCCAGTAACCATTCCTTATATGTTTCAGCCTCCAGACCCCTAATAATAATGTAATGGGAGGAGGAGGTTGCATTGTTATATTGGAATGGCAAAGAACATTCCAAAATGACGCAAAAGATCCAAGAATCCATTCTTAATATTTTGTAGATAAAGGATTTCACATAGCAAGTGAATTGCCTCTAAGTTCACTAAGAGCCATCACTAGATTGAATGGGTCAATAGTGAACATAAAGTGACTGTATATTGCACTAGGTGGTCTCTAGGTCATGGCATCTGGAGCTGCTGGGATCACTAGTTTTGCAACATCACAAATTACATCTGATTTACAAGCACTTACAAACATTCCCAATAGAATGTTTAGTAATATCACTTCAGAAAAAAATGGAGGCTATTATTTTGATGACACATTACTGTAAATAATCCACTGTGCCTTTAGTCGAAATAATTTTCCTAAAACAGAGGGGAAAGCTTTATTGCGCTCACAAAATAATATTTTATTTTCAATACAATCTGAGACTTGGCAGAAGGCAAACAAGATCATAAATGTGTCAGAGTGGTTTTGAAAGATCCAGTTTCATCTTCTAATGGTGATGCTGCTCTCTACAGCTGGAACTTGATACTGCCAAAATGACCCTGAGGTCAGTACTTGGGGGGGGGGGGACAAACCAAGCACCTAGATAGGCAAGATTCCCATCAGACCAGCTGGAAAGGTTCACTGCAATTAACACTTTGTCATCTATTGGAGCTATAATACCATACCACTTAGCAACATTACTCATACACTATTCCCAGATGAGAATAAATTATCTAGTATCCCTTACAGAAATATATACCCAATGCTCTTCTATTCCTGTCTGTTATGCATTGCTATATAATTTAAGCTATTGTACTAAGTATCTTAAAAGCCCACCTGGCTTGGTATCTCTTTCCCTTTCAGCACTGCTTTACTTAGATTTAATTGCTTAGGGAACATTGCCATTTCAGAAAGCAGGTTTGGAATGGCTTTTTAAAATTCTCCTTCTTTTAAAGAACACTGTCATAGCAGGCAAGAGGTTGTTAGATTTTTTTCTGCCCTTACATTACTACTTTGCTCCTACTATAGAATTATAACATAAGGGGCATTCATATGTGCTATCAATGCCTGCAGTCTGAAATGATGATCCCTCTTCTCTCTTGCCTTAAAACTGAGACTAAAAGTAGTCCTTGACTTATGACCAGTCACTTGGTGACCATTCAAAGTTACATAGATCTCTCCAAGGCTACGTACAACCTGGATTTGAAGTTCCAATAGCCATCCTGCCCCACAGAATTGTATTTTGGGCAGTTGGATACCAGCCCACATTTACAGCTGTTTGCAGTGTCCCATGATCACATGAATGTAAATTATGACACTTATTGCCAGAAATTGGCATTTACTTCCAGTTTCTGATTTTAAAAAATGCCCATTGTGGACAGCGGGTTTGCTTAATGATCACCATGTTTGCCAAACAACCAACATAAAAAATAGATTATAAAATCAGGTGTGGTCACATGTGACCCACTTAATGACTAGCACAACTTATAACCCTAATTCTGGGGGCAATTACACTCTTAAGTTGAGGACTACCTGTAGTCAGTTTTCTGGTGTGTGGTCCAGCCAACCTTTCTGGTCTTGGGCCTTGTTTATTATCATAGTCTTTGAGGTGCTGGCTTAGAAACCAAAAGACTGTGAGTTCCAGGCTTCCCTTAGGGCAGCGGCTCCCAACCTTTTCTATAAGAACACTTCTGATATATTCTCGCACCCCTTACAAAAGTTCAAAATAACGGCAATGAATTATGCATATATACATTATAATTTTGAAAACCCAAGCTTTGGTCCCCCTGGAATATCGTACCCCCAGTTGGGAACCCTTGCCTTAGGGCATGAAAGCCAGCAAGGTAACTCTGGAGCAGTCACTTTTGGCCCAACTCACCTTACGGGATTGTTGTGGGGAAAAATAGACAGGAATATTAGGTATGATTGTCACCTTGAGCTATATATATAAAATGGTGGGATAAAAACCTAGTAATAAAATAGCAAGTTTCCATTCTGCAGAGGAAAAAAAATGGAAGAGATGTAGGATTACCATACCATTCATCTGTTTATATCAGTGGTTCTCAACCTGTGGGTCGGGACCCCATTTGGGGTCGAATGACCATTTCACGGGGGTCACCAAACCATGCTGTCCGCCATTTTTTTCCCTTTTCCCTAGCTGTCCTACTCCCTCTTATTTGTGGCCACACCCACTTGGGGGTCACCACAACATGGGGAACTGTATTATGGGGTCACGGCATTAGAAAGGTTGAGAATCACTGGTTTATATGCTACTAAAACTCTTGTTCCTGTAACTTTTAACTGGGCAAAATGGTATATCATAGGGCAAACATTTTTCAGCCAAGGTACCTCCAATGGCTTAACTTACAGAATGCATTCAAAATGGAATTGAAATTTGGCAACTTGTATGAAACATTTTATAGCATAAAATTATGAAAGCTTATGACAGTATAAAATATCAAACATTTCCTACGCTGATGTTTGACTGTGCTATTCTAGTTCGGCATGGACTAATTTCAAGGCAGACACAGCTCTCAATGTACCTTTTCCAGTGAAGGCAGTACATTAGCAGCTCTGTCCCTGTTGAAGGCATTGAGGAATCTAGTAAGGAAGTAACTCTTGAAAGGATGACCCAAGGGATCAGGGGTAGTCTAAGTATTAAATGTGCATATAGGGTAGCAACAGTGCCAGTTCATCTTTCTCTTATTACAGCAAATCAACCAAAGATTGTGCACTGTGGTGCTCTACATACTGTAAAAATTTCTAGTTTAGAAATGGGATTCCTTTCTAGTTTCCTTCTGAATCACACAGTTGGTAGACAAAACAAAATTGCCCTACGGCTCTGATTCTTGTTCCTAGCGAGCAGAAAGGAAAATCAATCCGGTTAAAAAAAATAAGCAAGTTTAATGTTGTATTCCTCAAGCGAGCCGCCGACCATCGAATGGGGGGGAGGAGAGGAAAATGACTCCTATGCCGGGAGGGCTGGAAAAGGGCGCCGAAGACAAAGCCAGCAAAAGTGACGCCAACTCGCGCGCGGCTACTCGGACGATGAAATCACCCAGCCGCCCGCACGAGGAGGAAACGGGCGGGGCCTCCTGGCCTGAGAAGAAGCAGACGAGCTCTTACTCACCCAATCAGCAAGCGGGCGCGGCCGCTGTCTACGTTTCAATCCCAACGGCTACAGGAGGGCGTGCATAAAGGGGGTGCTTCCTACGCCGCCGGCTCCTCCTCCTCCAAAGCCGGGGTTGTAGCCGTTTTCGCCGCGCGCCTGGCAGAGTGCGAGTGGGAGCGTTTGGCTGTCCGTTTGGGTCTGGCAGCTAGCGAGGGTCGGAGCGGAAGCCGCAGGGTCAGCCTCCTTAGCGGTGTCCATTCGAAGGGACTCCCTTTAATTCCCCAGTACCAAGAGGAGGAGACTTGTGAGGAGAATTAATTCCCGCGGCTTGAGTTCTCGGGAGTTAATTGTTCGCGTGGCGGAATTTTGTGAGTTGGCCGAAGCTCCGTAGGCGCTGTGTGTGTGCGTGTGTGACAAAGGAGCTGGCGAGTGGGGTCAAATAGCGGCCTCCCGAAGAACGGCTGTGCGAGAAGAAGCTCCCTGTCCGGTCGTGCCCCGTTGCCGCTCTTCCTCCTTTGGCGAAGTAAGGCATGAGGGAAAGTGACGCGGCGGCCACTCCATCCTTCGAGATGACTTGGAGCAGCACTACGAGCAGTGGCTACTGCAGCCAGGAAGACTCAGACTCGGAGCTGGAGCAGTACTTCACGGCCCGCACCTCGTTTATCCGCAAACCCCACAAGGAAAAGGTGAAAGGCGCACACAGCGGTCTCTCTTTATTCGCAAACAGGGCTCTTCTCCCACCCAGGGATCTGCGGAAAGGCTAGCGTTGGCTGCGCTGCTATCCGTTGCAGTCTGTAGTTTGCTGTGAAGAGAATCTAGCGATACCTGGATCTTGTTTTATGACTCGTGGACTTCAACTCCCAGAATTCTTCTGGGAGTTGAAGTCCAGGAGTCATAAAAGAGCCAAGGTTGCCTACCCGTCTAGAGTATTATATTTCTTACTGGCTTATTTATATTCTTTGCATGTAACATGGCTGATGGTATATTCGGTTAAAAGGACTGTGCCGACCCTGATTCCCCACCCCCATTCATTTGTTCTTTGTTAACCC